TGTAATACCTAAATATTCAACACATGAACTAACAGTCACAATGACATGCATTGCCATGTAATACCTAAATATTCAACACATGGACTAACAGTCACAATGACATGCATTGCCATGTAATAGTTGAATATTTAGGACAAGGACTAATAGTCACAATGACATGCATTGCCATGTAATACATAAATATTCAACATGTGAGCTAATAGTCACAAGGAATGCCTATAAAAAATAGTAAGGTTGTATTTGTTAGAAGATTTCTACAAGTATGTCTATAAAAATAGTAAGGTTGTATTTGTCTCAAACGAATACTCTATGAATCACTTTTTACAGTGTGATGAATGAAATTTACTTCTTCAAGGTAAGGTGCACAAATAGTAACACAATCCTTACTTTTAAGAGCAGCACAGTGTTTTTCAATGGTTGGAGGTGTTAAGTGAAGGAAATTTGGTATTTTCATTAACTCTGTGTTTGCGTACTTATCAGGGGGTGCACCAGTTTTCACAAAGCCTTGTAACAGGGGAAGTGGAACAGTAGATGGTTTAAAACTCTGTGCTGTTGGCCATACAGAATTCCAGTCTTGGTCAAAAGGCATCCTTTTGTATCTTGGGGGTAGTATCTGCAAAGAATCAAGTTGCATAACATTATCATACTCACTACTATGAATCTAGAACTGGAATTATTGTTAAATTACCCATTTCTCAACCATTTATTCACTTTATTGTGAGTTAGCTAACGTTACCTATTTCTTAGTAGTCATTATTCTGTCATTACTCCTTATTAATCATTGTAATTCTACAATTTGTAATGTTCTTAAATTACCTATTGTTTAATTGGAAAAGGTTATTTTTCTATTCTCTTTCTACTTAATATCACTATTAAATAACCTGCTCTTCAACAACTTTTGACAAACAACGGACGTTTCCCATTACTGTTTCTACTTCATTTATGTGAGTCTACATAGTTTTATTATAGCTGAAATTTACATTTTATCCATAAAAAAGAATTCAAATCAATATTTACTTTGAAATCAATAGTTCCTTTCATTTTTCTTCTTGAAGCCCAGTAAATAATTATACTGTGTTCCCAATTTCTGCTTCATAAATAATGCAGGGATATATTTAGTACAAGAAAGATGGCATGTACAGTCTACATCATAAATAATGTACCATTATATTTAATAAAAGAAATATAGCACGTACAATAAAATGTCAAAATTATTTACTTACAAGTTATCTAGAATCTTGCCCTTGTTTTGTATTACCCAGTGAGGGATGATGCTTTGTGTTTAGTTAAATTTTCACGTGAAGCTACTGAAGGACTATCTGTGTTAGCCATCCATAATTTTGAAGTGATAGACTAAGAGGGATAGCAGATAGTCAACACTAATGACTGCCAATTCTTAGGTTACTCTTTACCCATGAACAGTAGGATTGATCATCACATTATAATGTCTCTACGGCTGAAAGAACAAGAATGTTTAGCAAAAGACTTCAATCCTGTGACCCATGGATGTGAATTCCAGTGTACTAACCACCAGATCATACTAGGCTGAAGGATGATTCATTAATAGTTGTATCTGTGAGTGTTATTGGATTCCACTTTCTTTTAGTCATAGTGTGTGTGTGTATACATTTCAATCCTTGTTTAGTTATCAGCAATATTTAAGCAGCTACACATAAACTGAGACTACTTTGTGTTAATGTGTATTTTACTGTTACCGAGTTAATTTTACACCTGTATTTACAGAAAGGTCAGCTGGCAAGGTTGTACTTGACAAACATATATCTCATAAAAGACATACCCTGAAATGCTTAATTCTAAGAACTTATGAGTGAAAGTAAAATAAAATGTAGAACAATATGTTAACCACACTATATCTGTTATATACAGTACCAACAAGGCATTTTACTTCTCATACAAGGGCTGCCTTGAATATGATAGACACAACGGTGATTGAAATGTTAGTTGTATCATCAAATTGAATTAACAACAACTTTTACGGTGTGAATTAGATTAAGTTGAAGTGTAATATTTTATGGATTTTATACAAGTCATTTACAAATAAGAATTAGGGTAAGAATTAATAACACAATATTATTTATTTATTTAATACCAAATATTTATTATTATTCATTGTTAGTAGAAGAACTGATGAATGAGCAAACTAGTTTTAGCATCCTTGTGGTGGGTCAAGCAACCACAGTATTAATGAGAAAAAACTACATTACTAACTGTCAGAATTTACAAATGAAAGTAAAGATGAATGTATAATAATATGTCAATCACATTATATCTGCTATAACTAATACCAATGATGCCCAAATATAAGGGCCTAAAATTATATTTGGAGAGTTTCAGTTTTCTACTTTGATTAGTTGTACTACTAACAGTACTAGTTTCATGTACAATATTCAGTCCTGTATACAACTTCTACTAAAACTCAGAGATTTGTTACAGTTTTCAGCATGATGTATTCTTGATCAACAAGATCCTTGAGACATGGTACAAAAACTTCCAAAGCCTGATTTTGTACTAATCCACTGATTTGAAAATAGTGTTTTAGATGGATGTATAGCTAATTAATAAAGTTATAATTTACCAGATCTTGTCTACATTATAATAACTGAAAATGTATTTCCAATAGGTACTTATCTCTCCTCACATAAATATCTATTTTTGTTCAGTGCTGCCCTCTATGTGAAAAAAACACGCATGTCACAAATCTTCTACCTCCCCTCCATTGGAATTGACTGATTATAATGCATCTCTCATGCAAATCATCATTCATCAACCTTCCACCAATAAGAAGGCAACATACTCTCATCACACGTGACTCCCTCTATTCAATTCTACCAAACTATCACTTTGAGTTTTGGCAGAAGATGGAAGCACTGGTTTTCAGTGAGGAGGAAGAGTTAGCGGAGGTAAATATCTATCGAAAATACATTTTCAGTGTAGGAAAATTATAACTTTCGATATGGTACATTACCTCTTCTCACATAAATAGCTAGAATCCCACATTGAATGATGAGACAATCAGATTCTAAGATCTGATGTGGGGACTGCACCACTTCTGAACCAGGTATACTCTTCACCCATCACAGAAAGATATCACATATATATGAGCAGAAAACAGAAGAGCACATCCAATTGGGAGAGAACTATAGCTGGAAAGTGATCCAAACCATGCAATATTTATGAAACTCAATCCCAGAAATTATAGAAGTGGGTAAAATGAAAAGGATGTGCCCCTAGGTGTAGAGTGGCTAGTGCACGATGGACTGTACATGGCAAGTCAACTACATCCAAAACCCATGCTGCTGGGAACCGACATCCATGTGGGGGTAGGATGAGGATTGTAACTGCAATCCAAAATCCGGGCATCAGGTACTGACATCCATGTGGGGGTAGAAAAGAGGATTGTACCATCTTCACCTCAAGTTCATGAGACCGGAGGGAATCTACTAACCCCCCCCCCGACTCATAAACCAGACATCTGGTATTGAAAAGATTTCAACTAGTGTAAACCATCTTCCTCAAAAGTGAAATTGACTGGAACAACCCAAAGCACATTAACATCCTCAGAATAAGAAACATCAAGGGATAGCACAAGAGAAAGAACCATAACAATCCAAAATTACCACCACTGTGACCCACAACACTAATGGAGTATAAATGAGGGAGGAATATAGACATCTGGTTCTACTCTAAATCCAGCCACTGGGAACCAACATCCACGTGGGGGGTAGGACAAAGGATTCCAATCAAAGGGGTGAACTGGAATTTTGATGTCTCACTCCCTTTTTATTTTTATGTTTCATATTGGAGGATATCACGTCATTTACATTAGTAGAACACCACTGCCCTACTCTCAACTGAACAGTTTTAAAATCATTTCTATATTTTGTTTGTATTTCATTAACCCATTCAGGCAGATGTATCCATGGTCCAGTGGCTTGGAACTGGAAAGTGGTAAGGACTCTCAAACCCCACTGGAAGAAAGAGGGGTAAAATGCAGTAGACAGTCCAGAGAAACAACAATACCTGATACAGTGCAATGGGTGACCACAAAACCCTATTTTTAAAAGCAGACCATACCAATTTTTCAATACAAGGCATGACAGAGATGGGCAACTATCCCCTTCTGCTTTATCCATGTAGCCCTTGGGTGGGTACAGTCCAGAATGGAAAAAAAATTATGAAGCAATTCCATTGCACTAATAAACCTACAAGCAATCTTGTGGAATACCCCATCTATGCAGTGTGCATTGTGTGGCCATGGAATTATAATATGCAAGTCGACATGGCCTGATAGTGGGAATTTGAACATAATGTATAATAAAACAAAAAGAAAACAGCCACAAATTAATCCCCTTCACTTCCTGAATTCTAGACTTTCCCATACCATGAAAATACAGTGGAATAGCACAAGCAAATTTCATAATAATGATACTGATGTGAAATTCAATTGTCCCTTTACTGTAACATATTCACAAATAATTATTATTCCTTGACTAGTTACACGGCAAAATGTGAAGAATACCAAGTGATATGTAAAAGAAAGAGGAAAAGAACTAAACCATTGACTACTGAACATAATTACTTCTCACAATTTTGAATATAAACA